AGATTCACAGCTGACTGGTCACAAGGTCGGTGACAGCTTATGACTTGGAGTTGGCAGCTGAAGTTGTGAGGCCTTAGCCTCACAGGCTGCGGCCTTCTTCACTGAGTGTCAGAACTGAGGGAACTGCAGGGTGTCCAGCAGGTATCTCTGGAGGTGGTGTGCACTGGAGGTGGTGTGTACTGGAGGTGGTGTGCACTGGAGTGGTGTGTATTGGAGGTGGTGTGCATTTGAGGTGGTGTGTATGGGGAGAGGAGGGGGAACTCTTAATGTGAAGCCAGGCTGGAAAGGCACATTCTATGCAATTGTAACTCAGTCACACCTGGGGAAGGCTTGTCTACAGAGACACATGAAGTGCAGCAGTGACCAGGAGCTCAGAGGAGAGAGGAGCAGGTGGAGTACACATAGCTTTAGGTCTGTGATGACGGATCCAGGTCCTCACCCATGGGTCCAAACCCACAGGACAGACAGCACATGTGGTCACATCTATAATCCCAACGTTCAGGAAGCTGACCACAAAGCCAAACAACCACTTATTACAGCAGGCTGCCAGATGGTAGCAAAGACAGGACTCTGGTGGTGTGCAGCTGATGGGGACAGCTGTGTAGGGAGCAGGAAATACCTAATACCTCTCACTTTCTATGTGACTCAGAGTCTATTCTAAGAAACACTTTTTGTTTGTTGATTTGTTTGAGTCAAAGTCTCAGGTTATAGATCAGGCATGCCTTGAACTCTCAGACCTCTGCCTGCTGGGTCCAAAGGCATGGTAAAAAGAAGACCTTTAAGAACCAAATAGACAGGTCTGGAAGCACAGACCTACAATCCTAGCCAAACTGAAGGCTCAGGCATCCAAACAGCATTCAAGGCTAATCTGGGTAACACAAAGAGACTCATCCCCCACTTCAAAAGAGGGAGGGGAAAAGTGGGTGCTCAGTAGCCAAGTGCCCAGCAGGCACCCGTGGTTTCAGCTCCGACATGGAAGGAAGAGAGGGAAGGCAGGGGGTCTGGTTAGAAAAGGAGAGGCAAACAATCCAGCATGGGAGGACCTTCTTCCCAGGAGACTCTAAACCACTGTGTCACTAGGATGGGCTGTCAAGAGAACTAGCAAAGACACACAGACTTCCAACAACACAGCTGAGGAACAGGAGGTGCAGCACAGACTACAGAATCCTCTCTGGCATAAGACAGTGTCCCCAACCTGACACAGGAAACCAGCCTCCAGCTCAGGTGCACAGGACAGACACACTCGGCTGGGTGATGAGTCTCACCCAAATGATCCTCAGACTGCCTAGACTGCACTGTGCCTCCACCAAACCTCAGACTCCACACTAGGGCGAGTTTCTGTCTCTTCCCCTTTATATTTCTCTCTCCGCCCAGCCATATCATTCCTATCTCCACCTCCCTAGTGCTGGGATTAAAGACCTGTAACTTCCAAACACTGGGACTAAACATGTGAGTCACCACCATCTGGATCTGTTTCTGGATTTTTTTTAAAAGCATTTATTTATTTGTTTGTTTGTTTGTTATGTATACAATATCCTTTCTGCATGTATGCCTGCAGGCCAGAAGAGGGCACCAGACCTCATTACAGATGGCTATGAGCCACCATGTGGTTGCTGGGAATTGAACTCAGGACCTTTGGAAGAGCAAGCAATGCTCTTAACAGCTGAGCCACCTCTCCAGCCCTCTGGATTGGTTTTGTATAGCCCAGGGTAACCTTGAACTTCAGAGATCTGTCTGCCAGGTCTCCAGAGTCCTAGGATTAAGGGTGTGTGCCACCACTCCCTGGCCTCTAGTGGCTTAGTTTTGTACTCTGATCTTCAGGCAAGCTTTAATTATTAAAATACAAATCAAATGTAACTATAAGAAAGGGCTGCCAACAGTACAGCAGGCTTGCAATCCTAGCACTCGGGAACCGCGGCACAGAGAGTGTGAGGTCCAGGCCACAGAGTTCTAGCCTAGCTTGGGATATACATTGAGACCCCAGACTCAAACAACAAACAGGGATAAACCTGGATGGAAACTAAGGCTATCTGCTCACTGAAAAGCAGTGGCAGGAAGACTGTGAGACAGGAGTGTCAGCAATGTAGTTAAGTGAAAAGCTTTAGTGGGCAGAGGAGGAAGTAGAATGCTTATGAACCATTCAAAAAAAAGTCACCAACCGCAGTGGAAGGGACATGATAGAAGCCCAAATCACCTCATCCAAGAAGGCAGCAGAACTGTCTCAGGAGACTCTGGGAGAGATGTTCAAGTCACAGTGTTAACTTTGTCAACACAGAGTCAAGTCTAAACACTCACTGACAAAGGAAAGAAGGGGACACCAGTAAGACAGGTGAAGGTGCACATGCTGAGTATGGTCACTGGCAAACTCACAAGCATCTGCAGAAGAACAAGGCTGCCACCTGAGGAAGGCCAGGTTCCCTCTGCTGAGCATCTGGTACCCAGCCCTGCTGCAGCAGCCTCCATGGGCTCTGCTCTAACACTGGAGACCACGGGGATGGAGCCCTTGCTTTGCTTCCTGGAGTCTCAGCTGTTGACTGTGCTGAGTGGAGAAGCTGAAGCCCTGACTGCTGAGGCTCCTGTGGGCTTCCCTGGGAGATGCAGTTCCTACATGGCTGATCTGTCCAGGGCAGCACATGCTCTGCCTAGGTGTAGGCTGATTCAGAGCTGTGTGTGGAATCCTGCAGCATCTGCCTATTCTCAGCATGATGGTGTCCTAACTATATCACTGTGACCAATAGCAGAAACAATACAACTGCACACTGAGTCTCCAGACCATTCCAAGACCCTGGCAATGTGTATGGTCAGTGCTGGGGACTCCCAAGAGTCACCCAAATATATGGTCTAATATTCAGCAATTCCCTTCCCTATGCTAGACTATGTCCTAAAGAAACTCTGAGGCGCTGGCGGCCGGGAAAGGCAATCATAGGCCACAAAAGGGACTGCCTCCCATCCACTGGATGGCTGTACCAAAGGCACAGGGCAACAAGCACTGCTGAGAACGCACAAATGTACTGTGTAATCAGGATGGCATTCCTCAGAATGCTGAACGAAGAATCAAAGTAGGATCCTGAAATTCCACTTCTGGCACAGGCCAAATGCTTTTAAAAGCAGGGTCTTGAATGAGCACCTGCACACAATGTTTTCAGTAATACAACAGCAAACATGAATGTGCACAGACACGGGCGTGCATAGCCAGGGTCCACGGCACAACAGAAGCTCCTACACTGTAACATGGACAAAGCCAGAAGACACTGCTGAGAGAAGCCAGCAATAATAAGAATTAGGACTCCACTTACTCAAGATCCCAAAACAATCAGACAAAGAAGGCAGGATGCAGTGCCAGGGTCTAGGAAAGGGGCTGGGCAACCAGTCCTTCATAGGTAGCTTTAGTTTGAAAAGGTGTGGGTACAGTGGCACGCAAGTACGGCCAATCCTGCAATCCTGGTACTGTGAGATACGTGTGCTTGCAGGGTTAAGATGGCAGTTTTTTTTGTTTTTTTTTTGGTCTTGTCTGTTTTTAAAGAGAGGGTTTCTCTGTATAACAGTTCTGGCTGTCCTGGAACTTGCTTTGTAGACCAGACTGGCCTAAAACTCACAGAGATCTACTTGCCTCTGCCTCCTGAGTGCTGGGAATAAAGGCGCCCACTACCACTGCCCGGCTAAGATGGCAGTTTTTATGTTACATATATCATCGGAACTTTGTACGTACACACGTTTCCATACACAGCACAGGCTGACCTGGAACTGGCTACAATTCCCCTGCCTTGGCCTCCTGAGGGCGGGAATGTGACTTTTTTAAGATGGGAACTGGTGGAAGAACTGGGGAATGACTTTAGTGGGACTGTTGGTCACCTGACTGCAGGCCGCAAAAGCATGAGAGAGAAACTTGTGAAGCACAATTAATAAAATCTCAGAGACTGATACTGGGGTTCAACCTGAAGTTCTGAAAAACAAACAGCCAGCCACTGGCTCTTACCTTGGCCTCAGTCTGAAAATGGCGATCCTGCCTCCAGGAATCTCAGAATGAGACTGTGTCTGAGAGACACTTCTTCCCATGTTATAATCCTTTCTAGGGCTGGGTTTAAAGGCATGCATCACCCGGTTTCTATGGCAAATTAGTGTGGCTACTGGGATTAAAGATGTGTGTTACTGGGGCCTGGTCTATAAGGCTGGCCAGTATGGCTGTTTTACTCTCTGAACTTCAGGCAAGCTTTATTTATTTAAAAAAAAAAATGAAATGCCACTACAAACTTGCCCCAGAGGAATGGCAATGTGGGCCCACCTCAAAAATACAACCTGAGGCAAAGCACATGGTCCCATCATCAACACCAGACTCTGTCATGTAGGAACACAGAAGAGAGAAACCCGAACAGAAAGAGTGAGCAAGAGGTAGGATGGTCAGTCAGCTCAGGCGGGGGCCCCAAGTCAGTAACACAGAAGCCCAGGTCTCTGCCCTGCACACCTTTGTGCTGCTTGATGACCTGTAGCCACGTTTTTCCTGTCTGGTTTCCCTTGAGTTACAGAGTGGCCAGCAGGGGGTGCTAGCAGAAAGCGGAAGGGCCCTGTGTCCAGAGAGCTGCTATGGTAGGACAGTTGGCAAGTGTGAAAGTCCCAGCTCCACTGCAAACTACAAGTTGCTGCTCACTTCACCTTCAATTGCTGGCTCTGCTTTCTGCTACCAAGAAATGCGAGGGAAGATCCAGTGGATAATTATGGAAAGGGAAAACAGGCGGCTGCTCCCCTGCATTCTAAGTAGAAGTGATAGGAGCAAGCATGGGGGAAAGGGAGCCATAATCTGGGTCCACAAGGGAGCCAGGATCGTCTCCCTGGTGCTGAGCTCCATGCCTGGGAATGGGACTACAGAGGCTGGGGTTCCCAGGTAGGATGGGATACTGACTGAACACATAAGAATGGAGCCACGGGTCTGGGTCACATTGACTCTGAATGTGGATCAACCATGTGCAGAATATGACGTTTTATACAAACCCAGAAGAACTCACCTGCACATGGCTGTCTACTTCCTCTCCAGAGGGGCTGGAGTGCATAGCCTGCTCCAGTGGTTCTGTGGCAAGCTTCACAGAGTTCTGGATCCGCTCCAGCATCTGCCTCTTGTCGGGGTCTGTTGTCTCGCTTAACTTGACTGAAAATGGCTACAACCGTAGAATACACCAAATATGTCAGGCACAGCGCAGAACACTGCTTCCTAAAGCTGACTCAATGCATCAGAGCACTGAGTTCCCCACTCCCAGACTTCAGCTCCCAACCCAGGCAGATCTGCTACCCTTCTTCACGTGTGGCTACACAGGATGCTTAACTTTTTTTTGCTTTTTTTTTTATTTGGTGATATTTTATTCTGATGATAAATAAAGAAAACCCAGTCTTGTTCTCTCAACAACATGTGGTCTTTTCAGAATCTCCCAAGAACACTGCTCCCTCAGTTTTCCCTTCTAGGGACTATAGGGGTAGCCATGGCTTCCCTAAGTCCCTGCTACCCTCTCCTGCTCCTTTAGTCTGAGCACACACTGTAGGATGCTTAACTTTATTAAGCAAGTTGTCCCCCATGCAAAATGGGCACAAAATGTACATCCATCAAGCCCCAACAGCTGGTGGCTATCTCCCATGTCAAAGGTGCCCCACCTCCCCCAGCTCTCAGTCTGACAGTTCAAAGACAGCTATGCTCTAACTTCAGGCCTAATCCTTCCCAGGGACAATGCTCTGAGCATTCCAGCCTTTGTTATTGTAGTTGCTAAGGTTGGTGTGTGACAGGAATCAGAACGATCCGTTCTTACCATAAGTATGATTGCTTAAAAGAGAACTGTTTCCCATAGGCTCTGGGATTTGAACACTTGGACCCAAGGTGATGGTGCATGCTTGCAGAAGAAAGTATGTCACGGGTGTGTGTGTGTCTGTGTATGTGTGTAAGGCTCTGAGAGCTTGAAGCCACACTCTCCTATTCCAGTTTGCTCTCTGTTTTGTTCTTGGGCTTGAGGATGTGAACTCTCAGTTTCCTGCTTCTGCTAACAGGCCTGCTAACTGTTGCCAAGCCTCCCTGACATGATGGGCTCATCCCTCTGGAACCATAAGCCAAAATCAACTTCTCTAAGTTGCTCATCATGGTGTTTTAGCACAGCAATAGGGAAATACCTAAGACACTGTAACATGAGAGTTTACACATTAAAAGGAGGCTCACTCAGAATAAAGGTGTGAAACTGGAGAGAACACACTTTCTCAGCGGGGGTTACAGCACCGTGGATGCGACAAGAACTTTTACCTTGTGGTAAAAGTGGGCATCATATCGCTTGTGACCCCAAACACTGAGGACAGAGAGCAGTTCTATCAGGTACTACCAAGAGGGATGGAGATAGAGCAGATATTTTCCCTAAGCGTCAGGAGCATCACCTACTCCACATCATCTCCTGCAGGACTCTGCCCTGGAGACTGTCTCATGGGCCTGGCAGGGGCGACACCAGCTTTGATACCCTAATGCAGCTGGTCTGAGTACTGTCTTGGAAACGACTGCCAGGTCAAACACCATCCCAGACAGGGGCCTGCCCAGGGCCTGAGAGGCACAAGAAGGAGGCAGGGTGGAATCCAGGGCCTACCTTCAGGGCAGCATGGACATCCTTCAGAAGCTGGGCAGCCGAGGGTTTCTGTTCCCGATACTGTTCAAACAGGTAGTTCTGCCGCGCCCGCTTGATGATCTGCCAAGGTGAGAGACTGGTTACGACAGAGTCTACTCCCTCCCACGTGCAGAACATGGCTCACACTGCAACTCTGAGTGATGGTGAAGGACCACGGGGACAGACACAGGTCCCACACAGTGTGGCACTGTGGGACACTATTACCACCCTCCACCTGTACCTGCAAAGTGGGGCTGAGGTCTGTCAACTTCTGGGTGTCTAAGGACAGGTCACTGAGGCCCCAGCTTCCTTAGCCAGTGAGATACAGAGTGGGCCTGCTCCGTAAAAAGCCAGGAATGATGGACTCTTAGCCAATGATCAGAATGTGCAATGTCTAACAGCATCTGCATGCCTGTGTGCAAGATCCTCCATCTGCATCACCTATGGTATCAGTTCACAGCAGGGACCCGAGCCTGTCTGTCCTCCAGCCCATCTGTCCATTCATGTAGCCCAGGCAGTCCTGCAACTCCCAAAGACGCCCAGATTGGCCCCACACTCAATCTGCGTCCTATGTGATGTTCTGCAGCTGTTTTTCTTATCTGAAAGTCCTGCTTCCTCTCAAGTCACCTATTCAGACCCGAGTGCTAACTTAGGCACCCCCTTACCTTATCATCAATGTCCGTGATGTTCATGCAATAAAAGACATCGTACTGGAAGTAATCCCTCAGCACTCTCCTTAGGATGTCGAAGGAGATGTAAGACCTACAGCAGAGGAAAGCACAGTTCCTCAGTTGGCACACATTGCCCATGAACTGGACACTCCAGGAAGAACATGCACAGGCTGAGCACCCTAAAACCAGAAACATCCCCAAATCCCGTTTTCTGAGCACCCACATGATGCCAAGAAAAGAAAACTTCCACGCTATGAAATAATGTTTCATGAACAAAACTGTTAAGATGCCATGTTTCAGTGTGGGCTCCGTCCCCAAGGCCTCTTGTTCATATGCAAACAGCCCCAAATCGGAAAACCCTGCAATCCTCAGCACTTCCAGCCCAGGCTCCTGGGCTAAGGAAACTCAGCTTGTTAGGGGCAGGACCCATGACCTTTACCCCATCAGCCATCAACTCTGAAAAGTCACACCCACAAATGTGTGTGTGTGTGTGTTTGTGTGTGTGTGTGTGTGTGGCAGGGAAGGGGTCACAACTCACTACACCTAAAGTCTGCATGTGGTAGACACATCACATGTCCACTGGGGTAGGGATAGTGTGGGTGGACTCCAGGAGGGCAACCACAAGCTCTGTGTATGTCCCTTCTGCTGTCTTTAATCCTCCAGCAGTGTAGATCCACAGGCCCAGACCTACCTGGCATGTCCCATGTGAGATGCATCATACACAGTCGGCCCGCAGCAGTACCACGTCACCTTCTTCCCATCTTGAGGTATAAATACATCCTTGTTAAAAAACAAGGAATGCCATCACCAGAAACTCAAGAAACTCCACACACAGTAAAAGGAGCCACAAACAGCCCACTAAGCGATTGCCTAGGGAGCCGGGCTCTGGCTTTGAACTCACTATCCTCCTGCCTCCACCTCCCACATACTTAGATGATAGGCCTGAGCTAAATCATCAAGACCCTCCTGTCTCCTGTTTACTGATAAAGTCACGGCACAGTTAGTAAGCTGTGTGGTGGGAGCCTGGTGAAGACATCCTCACCCCATCCTCCCTGGAACCTTCCTCCTCCTCAGAGTGGGGAAGGGGCAAAGTTGCTGACGTGAGATGCAAGTTATAGGAGCTGCAGCTAACAAGTACCAGCCTGACGACAACCTGCTCCAGACAGCCACTTCAGGAGCTTGGCACTGATGCTGTCTTCTCCAGACAGAGTACAAGGCCGTGAGCTTCCTCTCCCACAGGAACCTGGCTTAGAAGCCAGAGCACCTCGATATTCTCAGACTTCTCTGGGAGTGTCATCATCAGTGAGTCACATAAGGAGATGGGACCTGTCCCAGACCTATCTCCTGCTTGCTAAGCATGTATACTGACCAAAAACCCAGCCAAAAGACTGGAGAGATGAGTGCATACTGCTTCAAAGGACCCGAATTCAGTCCCAGAACCCATGCTGGGGGGGGCTCACAACCAACTGTAATTTCATCTCCAAGGGATCTAAAGCCTCTGTGGACACTGTATTCATATGCCCACCCCACCCCCCATATACATGTAAATAAAAATAAACCATTAAAACAAACAAACAACAACAAAAACCAAGCCCACAACTGGAAAGCTCTCTGAAATCTGTGCCACCACGGCCATGAGCTAAGTAGAGCAAACCATGATGAGCCTATCAGGTCAAGAGCCAGAACTGGCATCCTGGCACATGTTGGGCTCCAAGCTCCAACACCACTTGGCAGGTTGACCATGTTGCCTACTCTGCTTGGCTTGGGACAATGTTGATAGCCAGGAGCCCTCCTGAAAGCTGCCAGCACTTGGCTTGGCTGTGATGGTGACCTTGAGCACTCCCGACTGGGCAATGCCAGGAGGCCAGCAGGCAGGCTTTCCCAAAGCACTGTATACAAAGTATTTGTGCCCTAGTTTTAGAGCACAACTCTGTCTGGGCTGCAAAGGTCACGGCACAGCAGTAACAGAAGGTGCAGAGTCCATATCACAGCACAGGAGTAACAGAAGGACCCTGAACCAAGATGAGGGAACATGCCATGTGGTTAACAGGCTATAGTTTGCTTTGCAAGGACATCTCATCCGTCTTACCTTGTTCCGGGTGAGGCTATTGTACAGGCGAAGCTTGCAGGGCTCAGTCCCGGCTGGAGGGGACCACTGAGGCTGCACTCGCCGGCCTTTACCTGGAGGCAGAAGAGCAGACATGTCACACAGCAGGTCACAACTAGCTCTCAACACACCTGGGTTGAACAACAGAACTGTACTTTTGAGACAAGTTCTCACTTTGTAGCCCAGGCCTTTCTGGAATTTTCTGTGTAGTTCAGGCTGCCCTTAAACTTAGGATCCTCAGTCCTTAGCCTCCCTAGTGCTGGGATTGAAGGCGTGGTTTGTGATTTTCAGTTCACCTTCTGCACAGTGCTGCATCCCAACAAACAAGATGTGGCTGCCGCCAGCCCTCGGGATACTTGCCTGGGCAAGGTAAGAGTCTGGACAATTTGTGACACACAGGCCACCTACAAGTCACCAGGTGCAACGAAGGTCAGGGTGAGAATGGTCTCCAGCCCTTCCTTATCTCTGTCCTTAGCATCACCAAATCTGGCTTGGCTGATAGCCAGACTGACCCTAACCTCTGAATACAAGTCTGTTGCACCTCCACCCCCACCCAGGCTGATCCACACTGGCTTGACAGGCTCCACGGCCCAGACCCTTTCTCTCAGGCAGCACCTGCTCTCTGGACACCATATGGCACAGTCCCTCCTTGGCATGTGCCTGAGACCTGTAGGCCCTTTCCCAAAGACAGCTGCCTCTAGTCCCGAGAAAGGCTGCTCTGATCTGCATGCCCGGGAACTCTAAGGTGTCAGAAGGGTAATGCTTCAAGTCTCACAATCTCAGTCCAGTAAAGCTGACTGAAGCCCACCGGGAAACCATGTGATCATCCACAGCCTGCTCCTGTGCTCGGTGGGGGCACACCTGTCCTCCTCCTTAGCCCTGCCAAGAGCCAGGCCCTGTGTTGCTCCCCTCTGTGGGTCTGTGTGTATGGATCACACAGGGCCACCTGTGGTAGACCCTAATACACTTTTTTAATGTCCAGTCCATCAGCCCCCCTCACCTCTGCTGAGCACAGGGAGGTCTTGAGCTGGCCTGGTTGGTCCTAGTCTTCCCTCACCATGGATACTTCTCTTGCCTTCAGTCACCTCTGACTTTTATGAGCAACTGCCGATACCTGTGCCTGCTAACCTGTTGATTCCACTTTGAGAGTCATAGAGAAATTTGTTCTGGGCACAGGCCATTTCCAGGCTCCAATCCCTGCCCAGGTCACACTAGATAGAATAGAGGACACTGGTAACAAACAGATAAGGATAACAGGGGGAGGGGGTGGAGACATTGTCCACTGCGTGGGGGCAGACGAGCAGGAGCTCCTTCCTCCCGGTGAGTTCAGGATCCAGTCACAGGTGGCCACAGACTGGGATGGAGGAAAACCCAAACCTTCGTCAGACACCAAATGCAGTCTCAGCTCACTCTGAGCACACCTCAGTTTCCCATCCTTATGGGAAAGTCTCACTCTGTGATGTGACGAAAGGTCTGTGTCACTGTCCTTCCTCATAAAACCCACAGGTGACACCAAAAATGAAGGTGCTGCTGCAGTCTCACGGGAAAAAGACATTGCCAAGGGCTACTACTCTGAGGGCTGAAGGTGAGCCCCTGTGAAGTTGGGCCACATTCAGCATTCAGCTCTCCTCACGGCTACCACAGTCTCACAGCCAGCGACAGGCTTCAAGGCCACCTGGCAGGGACACACTCCAGTTTGAAAGGGGGCACAACAGAGAAGATATACAACAGCCTGCCGCGCACAGGCTCCCTGGGTCAAGAGGGCACACACAAGTGAAGTTCTCAGGCTCTTCCTGAAACCTCCCAACCCAACGACCATAGCAATGTCAGTGTCCCCAAAACCTCCTAGGTGCTGTCAGCCTGGAACAGCACCACTCCAGGCTGGGCACTGTGGTGGCATGTTCAGCATGTTCAGAGTGCCCCTGAACCAACAGGTGGCTCTGTAGCACAGACAGCTACACTTTGAAAATGGGATGTAAGAGGCCGGAGGTCCAGAGATGGAGAAGCGGCTGGGAAGCAACAGACTGGCCCAGGAGCATGAGGTAATGCTTGAGCCATCTGCCTGGGAGAACTCAGAACCTGAACCTCCCTAAATACTCTGCCCTGGCTTCCGGCAGGCCCTTTCCGCAGTGACAGTATGTCTGCTGCCTCCAGAGGAGCTGGGGGAAGCAAGGGGCCAAACGGGCTGAGCCCCAGTTCCAGGTAAGAGCTCCCAAGCAAGCTCAAAGCCCCGGGATGGAGTGGATCACCATGCTGAACCACAGAGGGTGACAAGGTGACGGGAGAAAGGAGGACGGGAGGCTGGTGCGAAGAGGGCTGGCTCCTCTGTAAGGGGACCATGAAGGCTGAGAAGAACACAGGAATTTTCCATGTCTGAGAGGGCCCTTTGCTGCTAAGGCCTCAGCCTTAAGAGGGGAGGCTGGTGAAGGCAAATTAGAGACATCACGACAGGGAGAGCTCCAGTCCTCAGAGCCACACTGAAGCAGAGCTACTATTGATCCAGAGGCATGGTGTGGACACTGGACTCTGGAGCCTGGGCCTGCCAAAGTCAGGTAGCCCAGCTCTAACCTGCCTTCCCTCCAGCTAAGCTTCTGAACATTTTGCTTAAGGGACATCTGACCTAACACGTTTTTCACATGGTCCTGATGGCCTCATAGGCAGCTGTGTGCTGGAGGAAGCAGGGTAATCCTGTTAGTGCTGTCCTTAGCCCATCCTCCACACAAAAGCATCCCCCAGAGAAGCCTCAGTAGACAACAGCTGACTGGAGTGGAAGACCCTCATGGTCATGAGGTCTCTGAGAAATAATGTTCCGCTGTGTTCACTGGACGGACAGTGGTGTGTCTGTTCAGTTCTCCCCAGGACCAAAAAGGAAGCCTACATGGGTGGTTGCTGAAACCAGGACCAGGTCCTTGATCTCACTGAAGCTGGGGCATAGTGTTCAGACAATCTGACTCCCTACACCTTTTGGAGAAGACACCTGGGACAGCAGATGTCCAGGGAAGACCTGTGCTGCCACACCTCCCACCGAGGCTGGAGCAGGGGGTTTACTCGGGATAATCCATAAAAGTCAAGACCCCAGGAGACCCCTCCACATGTTCCAAGGTCCCCACCCCAAGTCTGCAAAGCTTCAAGGAGGCCACCAGCAGGGACTACCATTAAGTCAGCATTCAGTCCTCTCCACATAAAGGAGGAGAAATGTATTATAGCCACAAGAAACTGGGGCTCAACAGCCTTAGGCAATTCAGAACTGAGCACCCACGGACAGGAGGATTGCCAAATGGCCAGATGAAGGTGACCAACTATTTGGGTCCCAAGTGAGAACCTCCAGTAGAGCCTCCCCATTCTAACAACTGTGCCCAGGGACACCAGCAACACCCACAGGCATGGCTGACTTCATCTTAAACCACAGGCAGGAGACTCATGTCTGCTTTTTTAAAGGTTCATCGTCAATGAATACAGCTCTAATATGTAGTGATGTCACACGTGAAGAGAAACAAATGTCACCTATGGGACTAAAGACGGGAACCAAGAGCCACTACCAGCAAAGCATTAACTGAACCCCAGACAGGCCTGTAGCAGCATGCAGTATGGCCCTGAAGTGGTCCCCGGTGACGTGATGATGTCTCTGAGCCCTGCCATTCTGGGTACGCAATATAACCCTACCAGACCCAGCAAGCATGGCTTCTGCCCCACGGCAACACTTTTGACTGAAATATGGAGGTGAGTCTCCAGCAGGATACCCACTGTCCTGTAGCACCGCATGCCCTTGACCTTGGAGCAGAGGTTCATTGCTGTTACTCACTTGCTTGGAGCCTGCAGGGCTCGCCTCTGCCTTGGGGGCCACCCAGGAGCGCTTCTATGTGTCTGAACCACCGAGCCACGTGGAAGAACCTCGAGTCATCAGTAGGGGCTGAGAGCTGCCTGAACACGTCCACATCTGCCTGGGACAGGGAGTATCCCTGGACATAGCTACGCGTGCTGAGGTGCTGGTCCAGGGCCTGCACCCTGGCTGCCTCGTCACTAATGCTCAGAATGGACCTGTAGTCGGCAGCTGCAAAGACAGAGGGCATAGGACGTCAGGCCAGAGGGCAGGCAATACATGACATCAGGCAGGCAGGAGTAGGCAGAAGGGCACATGATGTCATGCAAGCGGGTAGGAGAGGTGCAACACCAGGCAAACAGGCAGGGGGTATGGGAACAAGGAAAAGGTCTCAGAACACCAGGCATGTGCACAGAAGGCTGCCCAAGAAGAGGAGCTAGAGTGTGTGTCAGGGCTGGAGAGATGGCTCAGTGGTTAAGAGCATTGCCTGCTCTTCCAGAGGTCCTGAGTTCAATTCCCAGCAACCACATGGTGGCTCACAACCATTTGTAATGGGGGTCTGGTGCCCTCTTCTGGCCATACACACAGACAGAATATTGTATACATAATAAATAAATAAATATTTTTTAAAAAAAAGAAAAAAAAAGGGAGAGAGTGTGTGTCAAAGCTCTTTCCTGAATGTCAGACATCCAGAAGAGGAAGGACCACAGGGTGGCCATGCAGACCAGTGGCTGGCAGGAGGAAGGCAGGATGACAGTGGAGCAGGTCAGATGTCCTCCTGGAACTCATGGGAAGGTTTCGGATGCATACAGAGGTGGTCTGCAGCATCCTGAGTGCTCTGACTGCCAGGGATTGCGTAAACGACTAACTTTGGGTAGGACACGGTGATGTACACCTTTAATCCCAGGAAAGGCAGAGGCAGGTGAATCTCTTAGCAAGTATAAAGCTCTTGTTTTGATTGCCAGCACCACAAAATAAACAAATTAGTTAATCAAATGGTTACTTTCCTGCTATGGAGAGGGTAGGAGCTGCAGAGCCCTCAGCACGTGACATCACCATGCATAAGCCTGCAGATGTGGGAACAAACATGGCTTCTAGAAGCAAGATGTCACATCTCCAGGTTGTCCAAGCCCTCTCAAGAGTGCTCAGGGCTGCTAGAAGGAGCTGCTCTGAAGACACTTGACCCCTTCACTGACGCACCCACTACAAAGGGTACAACAGTCATGACTCCCACCACCCACAACTCAGAGTGTGGAGGACTCCAGGTAACTCTGCATGGGTTACCTGAGGACAGAAATCTAAGCTGAGCCATAGCATCCCGAAAATTAAAAAATACCAACTGCCCGAGACCACAGTTACGTTAGGCATGGGCTGATTAGACCCGTACCATCGAGATGTCTTATTTAAGGGGAAACGTATAGACGATAAAACATTAATATGGCCCTGAAGTAAGAACCAGATGCCTGGTTGAACATTTACCCCATACCCTGGCTAGTTTTATGTCAGCTTGGTGTAAGCTAGTCATCTGGGGAAAGGGAACCTCAGTTGGGAACATCTGCCACTGGATCAGCCTACGAACAAGCTTGTAGTTCCTTTTCTGATTTAGTGATTGAGAGCCAGCCCACTGTGGTGGCGCCACCCCTGGGCAGGGAGTCCTGGAGTGTGTAAGAAAGCAAGATGAGCAGCCAGCAGGTGAGGGACCTGCCTGCAGGCTGCACCACTGTCACCACCCACTGGATTCTGTTCCCTCAAGATCTACTCTGCCACCCAATCCCACCCACCTCCTCATCCTTCCTGTGACCTGCCCTTCCCCGCAACTCCAGCAGACTCCACAGACACAGGAACAAGCCCACATCTTTAGAAGAACAGACTATAACTATAGGCACAGATACAGTCAACATCAGTCAGAAGAATGTGAGGATAGGCTGAATCCAGAACCCAAAAAACTCAGCTGAGACATCCTACTGGACCTGAACGAACATCCTACAGACATCCTACAGAACCTGATTGGTTCTGCCAATCACCAAAACCCTTACCCATTCAGGCTGGAAGACAATGAAGGAGATAGATAGTAAAGAAACAAAACACCCATCCAACAAAGACAAACACAAGAATCAACACCCAGACCTATAATCGGATGAGTGAACGGCTGTGTAAGAATACCTTTAGTAACAGAAAGGGGAATACGGCACCAAGAGAACCCCGTGATCTACAACAGCAAGACCTGAACATTCCAGCTCAGCCAAAGCACAAGAAAATGATCTTCAAGATAACTTTATGAAGATAATAGAGGCCTTTAAAAAGGAAATGAAAAACTTCCTTAAAGAAATTGAGGAAGAGACAAACAAAAAGTGAAAGAAATCAATAAATCCCTTAAAGAAACCCAAGGAAAAAACAAACAGGTGAAGGAAATGGCTCAAGACTTCAAAATTGAAATAGAAACAATAAAAACACAAACTGAGGGAATTCTGGAAATGGAAAATCTGGGTAAGCGAACAGGAATTACAGATGCAAGCACCACCAACAGAATACAAGAAATGGAAAAGAGAATCTTTTGTTGAAGACACAGTAGAAGAAATAGATTTATCAGTCAAAGAATGTTAAATTCAAAAGATTCCTAACACATACATCCAGGAAATCTGGGACAGCATGAAAAGACCAAACCTAAGAATAATTGAAATAGGAGGAAAATCCCAGCTCAAAGGCACAGAAAATATATTCAACAAAATCATAGAAGAAAACTTTCCAAACCTAAAGAAGGACATGCCTATAAAGGTAGAAGAGGCTTACAGAACATCAAATAGGCTGGACTAAAAGAAAAGTACCCTCATCACATAATAAAACACTAAACATACAGAATAAAGAAAGAACATTAAGAGGTGCAAAGGAAAAAAGGCAGACTTATCAGAATTATACCCGACTTCTCAATGGAGACCCTAGAAGTCAGAGGGCCTAGACAGATGTTTTGCAGGCACTAAGAGACAATGGATGTCAGCCAGAAAGACTACTAAACCCAGCAAAACTTTCAACTACCATAGATGGAGAAAACAAGATATTTCATAACAAAACCAGATGTAAACAATACCTATTCACAAAGCCAGCCCTACAGAAAGTACTAGAAGGAAAACTCTAACCCAGGGAAGTTAGCTGTACCCATTCAAACACAGGCAATAGGAAATCTCACACCAGCAAAACCCAACACACACACACACAAACACACACACACACACTACCACTCAAAGACAGATATTACCTCAGAGTTAAGGGCTGGGAAAAGATTTCCAATCAAATGGACCTAAGATGCAAGCTGGTAATAATTAACAAAATAGACTTCAAACTAAAATTAATCAAAAGGATGAAAAAGGACATCATTCATCAAAGGAAAGATCCATCAAGACAAAGTCTCAATTCTGAACATCTATGTCCCAAATATACAAGGGCACCCACATTTACAAAACAAACATTGCTAAAGCTTAAAGCACACATCAAACCCCACACACTAATAGTGGGAGACCTCAACACCCCAATTTCACCACTGGACAGGTCTGCCAAATACTAAGTGCCCACAAAAAGAATTTGGAGAAATTTCACACTAGGGACTTAACAGCACACCTGAAAGCTTTAGAACAAAAAGAAGCAAACACACCCAGGAGGAGGAGATGGCAGGAAAGAACTGAGGGCTAAAATAAATAAAATAGAAACAAAAAGAATAAAAAGAATCAATGAAACGATACAAAGAATCAATGAGACAAAGAGTTAGTTCTCTGAGAAAAAAAAAAATCAACAAAAAAGACAAACCCTTATCCAATTTAGCTAAAAGGCAGAGAGAACATTAACAAAATCAGAAACAAAAGGGGGGACATGTCAAACACTAGAAATCCAGAGAATCATTAAGGTATACTTCAAAAACCTATACTCCACAAAATTGGAATATCTAAAAGGAACGGACAATTTTCTTGAGAAGTACCACAAACCAAAATTAAATCTAGACCAAAAAACAAACAAACAAACCAAAAAAAAAAAAAGACAATTTAAACAGACCTAGAACCTCTAAGGAAATAAAAGCAGTCACTAAAAGTCTCACAACCAAAAAAAAAAAAAAAGCTAAGGGCTAGATGGTTTCAGTACAGAATCCTACCAGACTTTCAAAGAAGAGCTAATACCAATACTCCTTAAATTGTTCCACACAATATAAACAGAAGAAACATTACTAAATTCTTTTTATAAGGTTACAGTTACCTGATATCCAAACCACACAAAGACTCAACAACGAAAAAGAATTACAGACCCATTTCCCCCATGAACATTGATGCAAAAATACTCAATAAAATACTGGCAAACAGAATTCAGGAACGCATCAAAAATATTATCCACCATGATCAAGTAGGCTTCATCCCAGAGATGCAGGGATGGTTCAACATATAAAAATCTGTCAATGTGCCGGGCGATGGAGGCGCACGCCTTTAATCCTAGCACTCGGGAGGCAGAGGTAGGTGGATCTCTGTGAGTTTGAGACCAGCCTGGTCTACAGAGCTAGTTCCAGGACAGGCTCCAAAGCCACAGAGAAACCCTGTCTCGAAAAAACAAAAAACAAAAAAAAAAAAAAAAAAAAAATTCAAATTAAATGGAGAGAAACAGAAACTCAAAGCAATTCCACTAAAATCAGGACCAAGGCAAGGCTGTCCACTTTCTCCATTTCTATTCAATATAGTACTCAAAGTTCTAGCTAGAGCAATAAGACAACAAAAGCAGATCAAGGGGATTCAAATTGGAAAGGAAACTATTGTGATTTGCAGATGATATGAGAGCATACATAGGTGACCCCAAAAGTTCTACCAGGGAGCTCCTACAGCTGATAAATACCTTCAGTAATGTGGCTGGATACAAGATTAACTTAAAAAAAATCAGTAGCCCTCCTATATACAAATGATAAACAGGTTGAGAAAGAAATCAGGGAAACAACACCCTTTACAATAGTCACAAATAATATAAAATATCTTGGGGTAACTCTAACTGAGCAAGTGAAGGACCTGTATGACAAGAACTTTAAGTCTTTGAAGAAAGAAATTGGAGAAATCTCCCATGCTCATCAATCAATAGGATCAACATAGTAAAATGGTCATCTTACCAAAAACAATCTACAGATTCAATTTTGATCCCCATCAAAATCCCAGCACAACTCTTTACAGACCTGGAAAGAACAATACTCAACTTCATATGGAAAAACAAAA